CTGGGTCAGGGCAAGGTCAGAAGCCAGGAACTCCATCCAGGTCTCCCACGTGGGTAGCAGGGACCCAGGTACTTCAGGAATCAGCTGCTGCCTTCCCAGGCACGCTCACAGGAAGCTGGATTGGAAGTGGGGCAGCTGGGGCTCTGCTCTGGTATGGGGATGCCGCACTACAGCAGCAGCTTAACCTGCTGCCCCACAACACCCTGGCCCCCAAGGATGGCTATTTAAAAAGCCAACTTTATGTTCTTAAATTCTTGAAACATCAATTAAGTGTAAAGCAAAAGTAGTCGCAATGTCAGGTGGATTTTTTTCAGGCAGAGTGGACAGTGACAGAGAGAGACAGAGAGAAAGGTCTTCCTTTGCTGTTGGTTCACCCTCCAATGGCCGCCATGGCTGGCGCGCTGCAGCTGGCGCACCGCGCTGATCCGAAGGCAGGAGCCAGGTGCTTCTCCTGGTCTCCCATGGGGTGCAGGGCCCAAGCACCTGGGCCATCCTCCACTGCACTCCCGGGCCACAGCAGAGAGCTGGCCTGGAAGAGGGGCAACCGGGACAGAATCCGTCGCCCCGACCGGGACTAGAACCCGGTGTGCCGGCACCGCAAGGTGGAGGATTAGCCTAGTGAGCCGCGGCGCCGGCCAGAGCTAGATTTTGGATCACAGGATTAGATGCAGTCACCAACGGAGTGAGATAAGGAGTCGGGAAGCCAGAGACCAGATTTTCTTTGGCAGAGGGAGGCGATGGGGAGCCAGCCAGAGACTGAAAAGAAAGCGACCACGGAGGAGATGGAAGAGAACGGGCAGGGGGTGGGGCCCAGGAGGCCAGGTGTGGAAGTATTTCCAGAAGGCCAGGGCGAAAGGCTGTGCCCAGTTCTCCTGAGACAGTAAGATGGGGACGAGGACACTTGGCAAGGACCCTCGGTGTCCTGATTAGAGGGGGCTCAGTGGGGACAGGGGAGAGCAGGTGCAGCCATGGAGATGCAGAACAATTCTGCCCAGGAAAGCAGATGGGGGCGGGGCGGACTGGGTGAGGGCCCTGAGGGGTCCATGGAGCCTTTTTATCTGTTTGTCTTTAGCCTGAGACCTTAGATATGTTAGTGGGGAAGAGGGTATTTTTTTTTGGGGTGGGGGGGAGGGTTTAGGATGGAGTGGAAGAAATTCTAAAGCAAGAGGACCTCTTGCTTTGGGGAGGCGACGGTGTGCGCAGCCTGAAGAGAATGGTGGTGGAGCCATCTCGGCAGAGAGCCGAGAGAGGGGGCAGCAGACCGTGGGAAGCCGGCGGCACCTTCTCCTCCGCTTTGGGCCTTTACTGCGCCCAGCAAACGCGCACTCCTCAGATGCTGCCACTCCAGGGCGTGACTTCTCCCGAACTTTCCCACCCCCTTAATCCCCATGGGTTTCCCAGGCAGGAGCTGGCGAGCTGGGAGCACGGAGAAGTTGCATGTTACGTTTCTCTGAGCTCCACGAAGGCACTGCAGGGTTCTGGGAGAGCATGGGGGGCCAAGTGAGATCCCCTCCGAGAGGTTGGAGTCCAGGCTGACAGGGACCCTCCCCGCTCAGACCCGGCTGTTGTCAAAGAGGGTGTCACGCCCGCGTGCCCAGAGCCGCCTGGTTTCTGCCTGCTGTCCGGAGCGCGGCTGACTCTCGGAGCCCCGGCTGGCGGTGGCTGCTGACCCGCAGCCGCTGGCTTCTTTGCCAGGACATTTTTCTGTGCAGGCAAAGGGAGCCCTGGGACAAAAGGGCACAGAACTAAGACAATACCCTGCTGTGCGCTCCCATCCGGGGGCCGAGATGATTCCTGGAGACATTTTTGTTGGGTTACTGCACACCCACAAACAGCCACTTTTTAAAAAAGAGCAACAAAACTCCACACTCAGAGGGTTATCTAGAGCAGGCATTTTAAAACTAACAGACAGACAGATGTGCCTGTCACTTCTTGCCACAGTCTATAAATTGTCCTGGAAGCCTCCAGGCCCTCCGCCCACTCATTCCGCACATGGTAGCAGGATCATCTCCCGAAAGCACAGACTTGATCTTGTCTTTTCCCCACTCAAGCCTTGTCTAAGGCTCCCCATTGCCTTTAAATAACCAAGCATCAGAGAGCCATCACACAGAGCCCCTTTGTCTCTGCGCGAGCCCCAGGCTGCAGCCTCCTGCAGAGCCCCCTCCCTGTCTCCTCCCAGGCCCCCTGGACTCATGCCACTCACTCGTGCACACGTCTCCTGCGGGGGCCTGCTGCCGGCGCCTCCCCACCATGATCTCCAGGCTGAGCTGGTCTCCGCAGCCGGTTTACACAACACCTGGAGCTTCGTCCCTTCACTGAGAACAGCTGGGTTCTACACAAACTCTAGACCACCACTGTTCGCTTGATGGTCTGTCTTCCCCGGGGGACGAGAGGTGAGAAGCCCGCATAGGGCAGGGACGGCACCTGTGCTGCCCAGTGCTGTTAACTCCCGCGCGGTGCGCACGTAGGAAGGGAGGAACGAGGGCACTGAACCTTCTTCCCGGACGCTCTCCTCGCGCTTCTCCAGCGCCTGCCTGACTTGTCTGCCACGCCTGCTCCTGTGGTTAACAGACCACGCGTGCGCAGTCGTTCAGTTTTGGATAAGGCCCCTCGGCGACGTGCAGGAAGCCCAGTCCCGCAGCAGCCGGGGCTGGCTCCGCGGGACATCCCCACGGAAGACGGGAAGTTGGCACCCAGGTCCAAACTGACGCCAGACGGGTCGTGTACCTGCACAGAGGGAGTGAGCCACGTAACTTCTGGAAGAAAACATAAGAGAAAATCCTTATAACCGGAGATTCCTTAAGCAAGATACAAAGAGCACTGATTATAAAGGAAAACATTGATAAATTAACATTCAGATAGAAAACTCGTTTTCATAAAAGAAACCATTAAAAAGATTTCAAAAGACAGACACATGAAAGAAAAATAATTGAGAAAAATTAATAAATCCAAAAGTTGGTTCTTTGTAACGCTAAAAATATTGACAGGGGGAGGCATTTGGCCTAGCAGTTAAGACGGCACTGGGGAAACCCACATCCCATATCAGAGTGCCCGATTTGAGTCCTGGCTCCACTTCTAAGTCTGGCTTCCTGCTGCTGCAGACCCTGGGGGCAGCGAGTGATGGCTCAAGTGCTTGGATCCCTGCCACCCTCATGGGAGACCTGGACTGAGTTCTGGGCTCCTGGCTTTGACCTGGCCCGGCTGGCTGTGTGGGCATTTGGGGAGTGAAGAAGCAGGTGGAAGAGCTTTATCTATCTGTTTCTTTGTCTTTCTTTCTTTCTTTCTTTCTTTCTTTCTTTTTTTATTCATTTTATTTATTTGAAAGAGTTACAGAGAGAGGTAGAGACACAGAGAGAGATTTTCCATCTACTGGTTCACTCCCCAAATGACTGGGACAGCCAGAGATGGACTGATCCAAAGCCAGGAGCCAGGAGCTTCTTCCGGGTCTCCCATGTGGGTGCAGGGGCCCAAGAACTTGGGCATCTTCCACTGCTTTCCCAGGCACATTAGCAGGGAGCTGGATCAGAAGTGGAGCAGCCGGGACTCGAACTGGCGCCCATATGGGATGCCGGCACTGCAGGCAGTGGCTTTACCTGCTATGCCACAGCACCGGCCCCGGCCCTGTTTTATTTCTTCATCTTCATGGTGGTTACTCTGTGTGTGAAAAATCTTTTAAGCTTCAGCGTTTTTCAGGCTGTGTGCGTGTGTGTGTGTTATACTTCAATAAGTAAAGTTTAAAAAAAAAAAAAAAACCCTACCCATTTCCCCAGGCCCTTCACTGATAGTCACAAGGTCACAGCTACTGGGATGCTGTGATTGGCAGTGACTCTATTTGCTCTCTGAGTCCTCAGCCCTTTGTGGAATCCTGGGATGACCTGGCCTCACCTAGAAGCACCTGCATAGAAAGAGCAAGAGTTTTGGAGACCTGGGGTCCAGAGCCAGGCCCAGAGGTGGGCTGCCCGGGAAGAAGCCGAGGGTCATCCTAAAGCGCCAGGCTGGCACACACCCATCACACAGCCAGGTCTAAGCACGCTGGGTCCGGGCCCTCAGCAGTGAATCTGCCCTGCCGCCAGGGGAGACGGGCGGACAGTTCCTGCCCTGTTGTGACCAGCTGTTAGCTTCAACGTCCACAGAAGGGGTGTCTGCTGGGCAGAGTCTAGGTGACATGCCCTCACCCTGGCTGCAAGGGACTCTGGGAAAATGAATATCAGGTCTTTTCAGCTTTTTTCCCCCCCAAAGATATATTTATTTGAAAGACAGAGTGACAGAGAGAGGGAGAGAGAGAGAATTTTTCCTCTGCTGGTTTCACTCCCCACATGGCTGCAATAATTGGGGCTAGGCCAGGCTGAGGCCAGGAGCCAGGAGCTTTTCCAGGTCTCCCAAGTGGGTGCAGGGGCCCAGGAACTTGGGCCGTCTTCTGCTGCTTTCCCAGGCTCATTAGCAGGGAGCTGGATCGGAAGTGAAGCAGCTGGGACATGAACCAGTGCCCATGTGGGATGCAGCTGTTGCAGGCAGCACTGTGCGGTGCGCCACCACCACAGCCTCCTTTCAACTTCTATAGCAGGAGGTGGCCTCACCTCTTAAAGCGGAGGACTCCCCAGACATGATGGCGGTCAGCAGGAGAATACCAAGTGTCCATTTTTTGGCCTAAGGATAGCAGTCGTGGTGGAGCTGCTGTGTACAAAGGGCCCATCACATGCCCACCACGTGGTAGGAGCTCAGTATATGGTAGAAAATAGTATTGGTGATCGGGGGTTCAAGTTTAAGTGCAGCCTGTGAAAGGGATTCCTTTTGTCGCCCTTGAGCAAGTTCAATTTTCGAAGTCGCAGAGACACCTGCTGAGAACAGCCCACCTTTTCCAGCGTCTTGAGAAGCAACAGCACAACGTGGGAAACCATCCAGGCTCTCCCTCGCGAGCCGGCGTCCACTGTCAAGGAAAGGACTTTTCTAGAAAAGGTCTTTGTTAGCTCTAAACTTAATTCAAAGTAACTCAACACATGTTTGATTTAAATCTTTTAATTTTTAAGTGTTTGTCTTTAAGCGTTTTATATCTCCTAGGGACTCAGAGGCCAAATAAGGCAGCACCTGCTCAGTTAAAGGCGCCGTCAGGAATGAAACACTTCTCAGAGGGTCCTGATCATAGGAGACCGCGCTGACTCCAGAGAGCTAGGACCTCGCCTTTGCCTGTATTCAGCTCCTGCCCCTGGGAGCCTTGCAGGACGTCTGTTGAATTACTTTTATCGGTTAAACACAAAACATTGAAAGCCTCTTATCTGCCTCTCCCCCCACTCTATCTCCCTCCTTCTTCCACCCCCTCCCTGGTGTTTGGCAGATAGGAACCTGCACTGGAGGGGTTCCAGGGAGACTGCACTGTGGGCTGAAGGGTTCAGTTTTAGGGCTGGAATATTCCAGATGACTTTTCTTCGGAAGCAGAATGTGTTTGTGGGGCACGTCTGCTGGAGGTTTGGGCCCTTACAGAAATGGCTTTGCTTTGCTCAGAGGCCCCTGCTCCGCGGGCCGCAGCGGCAGGGTGAATGCAGCGGAAATCCTTAGTGCCAGGAAGGGTTGATAATGGGGTCCTTAGGCTACCAATGGGAGGTGACCGGAAGCCAGACCCCTGACTGCCCCTCAAACACGTGGACAAGCCGCCTGTCCTCTTGTGCAGCCCGCGAAAGGACCCATGCTCCTTTGAGCCAGGATGGCGGGAAGAGTGTGATGGGACAAAAAGACGGGCCTGGAAGCAAACAGACCTGGTTTTGAGTCCTTCCTTGCAACCTCCTAGCCACGTGACTTTGGGCAAGAGCGCTTTCTCTTTGAGTTGGAGACTCTCATCTGGGAATGGAAGAAGGTAACACCACCTAGGGTGGTGAGGAAAATGGAAACCCAGCTGATAACTCCCGGGAAAGCACTTTGCAAAGAGCCTGGTACTTGGTGGAATTTAAACACAGCAGGGAGAGAAGATGACCACGGAGGAAGAGTTTGCCTGTGTTGCTCCAGCTCTCTCCAGCTGGGTGTTCCCTAGTGCGGCGACAGGAGCGACCCGGGTCAGTCCTCTTAACCAACGCTGTGACCCTCAACTTCCCCTCAGAAGGCAAATTCTGACCCTGGAAGGGAGAGACGCCAGGGTTTGAGGGGAAAGGTCACAGTGCCACCGACCGCAGCGCAGTAGGGATGCATCCCCTTGTTTCCAAGGGCGCACGATTGATTAAGAAGCAGCTTTTTGGAGAGGGAAGATGAAGAAAAGAAATATAATGGCACTAAGGGACCCATAAATTATGACACATTCTGATACTAGAATTATTGCAATGGGAACACATGTATGTCCTGTAATTAAAGAAATGCCGTGGTGATATGCTGGCTTTCACATATGAAGCACCTGCTGGGTGCTGGGCCCTGCACTTGAGCTGCGGTACTGAACCCGGGGCTGGAGCTCCCCGCCCAGCCAGGCACACGTTAGCATCCGCTTCACAGCTGGGAAGCTGACCCTGGGCAGGTTGAGCCACTTTTTTTTTTTTTTTTTTTTTTGGTTTCTGTTTTTACACTTTTTGTGGGGGTGGAGTCACTTTTCCAAGGCCACCAGGCAGGAAGTAGGGCTCAGAGGGCAGGTCATCTTATCTCCAAAATGCTGCTCCTTCTCAGATGCTTGTCCAGGCTCAGGGGTCAGAGGCCGGCTCTCTACAGAGAAACCGTGGGTGACCGTGGCACGCTCTGGCTTGAATCTCTCTGTGAGGGGTTGGGAAGGGTGCCGGGGTCATCTGGGGCAGGAAGAGGCAGTAAATTAACAAGTTGGTGTTCTGGGTGGTTAGTCCGTGTGGGTCTCCCCGGGTCTGACCGCGGGGCGGGGCGCTTTGCTGTCTGTTACCCCGACCTTGACGCAATCAGAAGTCTCCTGGGCTGCGTGTCTGTCTGTCTAGCTGTAGTCTGGGGGGACAGAGCCAAATCCACACCACCGGCTTCCCAACATAGCTCTGCCTCGCCGGATGACAAAGGACTGTGCCCCAGCTCTTTGGCAGGAGGGCAGCAGGGATGCGGACACAGCTGGGGGGGGTGGCGCGCGGCCGAATGAGGGCAAGGGTGCTTGAAGCATCAGGGAGTGAGTGACAGACCCCTCCGTGGAGCCGCCCGGGGGGAAGTCGCGGGGAAGCTGCCGGAGAAGTGAGCTCCTGGGGCCTGACTGTGGGACAGCCGGCGAGCCAGCGCTGGGGGAGGGGTCGTCAGGTCTCCACGTGGACGTCCACTGGGCCGAAGGTCACCGTGGCAGGGTGCTGGCTGCTGTTGCTGTTTGGGTCCGGGGCAGAAGGGGCACTTGGCTTGGGGCCCTTGGGCTCCAGCCCCCGCCTCATCCTCATTCTCCTGCAATGAGACAAGCACACACGGGTGAGTTTTCCCCGGGGTTGGCCATGAGAAATGGATCTGTGACCGCAGTTCTGGTGACGAGATCAGGGGAGACAGCACGAGACCACACTGCTTCACTGCCAGCCGCGGATCACCAAGAAGGGACCTCAGGCACCAGCTAGGGCGACCCTTCTGTTTCCTGTTGGACTCAGATTAGCTGAGTCATCTTATTGGTTCCTATTCCTGAACGAGTGACGTCTCAGAGAGGCAGCTGCGTTCAGGACGAAACGACCTGCTCAGGTTTGCCGTGCGAGTGAAACGGCGCAGCTCGTCCTGCTGCCAAGTTCACTGCTAGAAATAGGCCGAGCTTTTCACGCAGGTGCGGAGAGAATGCTCTCTGAACGCAGGTCCTGCCCCCATGTCCCGTCACGGCGTTCACAGTGAACAGTTACCCTGGGTCCCAGAGTCTGTGTGGTCTTTCTTCTTGTGGACATAACTCTCTGTCACAAATCTGCAAATCCGCAGAGGTGGGGCATGATAGTAAAATTAACCCCCCCATCCCCTTCCGTGAACAGTTCACCAACCTCTCACAACTTGCCACATCCGGTGTCTCCTTTCCCCGCTCCCCTCTCTCTCCACCTGCACCTGCAACCACACACTCTGAGCAGCTTTTGAAAATCACGCGACACTCGGGAGTTGGCCGCACACATCTCGCCGCTTTGCTCTAGGGCACTCCCCGGACAAGCGTGTTCCCCGGTAGATCCCTAACGCGAGGATCCCACCGCGACACCTTCCACTTGTAAGATAATAGGCCGGTGCCGTGTCTCAACAGGCTAATCCTCCGCCTAGTGGCGCCGACACACCGGGTTCTAGTCCCGGTCGGGGCGCCGGATTCTGTCCCGGTTGCCCCTCTTCCAGGCCAGCTCTCTGCTGTGGCCCGGGAGTGCAGTGGAGGATGGCCCAAGTCCTTGGGCCCTGCACCCCATGGGAGACCAGGATAAGTACCTGGCTCCTGCCTTCGGATCAGCGCGGTGCGCCGGTCGTGGCGGCCATTGGAGGGTGAACCAACGGCAAAAGGGAGACCTTTCTCTCTGTCTCTCTCTCTCACTGTCCACTCTGCCTGTAAAAAAAAAAAAAAAAAAAAAAAAGAAATTGAATTGTGTATGTTTGGGGGAGTTGGGGTACATGCTGCCAGTCCTTGTCACCTCAAACACCCCACGTGGCCTACTCGAGAGAAGCAAGCAGAGGGGTTCCCTGGAAAAAGGACAGAAACATTCCTGAGTACCAGAAAATGGCATGCCAGGACTGCCACAGTGCTCAAGGCCATGGTCACTGCCACTGAAGTGCCGAGTTCTCCAAGGGTGAGGTGCCTGGCCACCGTGAAGTTTCTCCAGCAGAGCAGACCTCACGGGGGACCCGGGAAGGGAGAGAGCCTTCGCTGGTGGCTCACGGATGCCCCGGCCCTCGACAGCCTCCCACAGGCACCAGCTCCCGTTCGTTCGGATGTGGCTGGAGGCCCGGACAGCGCCAGGGCCCCGGGCATCTCGTACCTGTTGTACATCTTCAGCAGGATCAGAACCACGGTGAAGATGATGATGACAACCACCACGATGGCAGCGACGATGGCTCCGGAACCTACAGAGCGGAGAGAGTGCAGACTGCAAACATGCAAATGAGAGGCAGCATGGGAGGGGCCCTGCTGCACCTGCCACCCCGCTGGGCCAAGGGGAGGAGGAGGAGGGATGGGGATGACCTGGCCTGCTCGCCACTGACCCAAGGACACAGTCCCATCCAGGGTGGCCGTGCACCCCTGCCCCCAGTGGGCTTGAAGGACCTCATCCGCCACACTCGTCCACCAAATACTTCGGGGACTGAGTCCCATTCTTATCAGCCCCAAGCAGCTGCAAACTTCTTCCAGGAAACAAAACAGGCAGATTATCCCCCTCTCTCTTTGACAATACAGAAGCAACAGGTGATCTGTGTAGATGATTTTGAGACTACAAATGCAACCCCGAGCAGGGGCAGGGATGGATACCTCGTGGCCCCCAGACCACTGATCATCTGCACATTGTACATGCACCAGCATCTGTGTCTGTGCGGCTGAAGCATCTTAGAATAACTTACTGTGCCTGAAAATCCATCTTCAGGAACTATTTGTCAATACGGAAAAGCACACATTGGATAGAAATGCAGCCATTTCCCATATACTGTTTTAGACTAATATCATCATTGGGGCCAGCGCTGGGGGGTGGTAGGTTAAGCTGCTATGCAGCACCGGCATCCCATATGGGTGCTGTTATTTTTGTTGTTGCTGTTGTTGTTTTTGACAGGCAGAGTGGACAGTGAGAGAGAGAGACAGAGAGAAAGGTCTTCCTTTTGCCGTTGGTTCACCCTCCAATGGCCGCCGCGGCTGGTGCGCTGCAGCTGGTGCACCGCGCTGATCCAAAGCCAGGAGCCAGGTGCTTCTCCTGGTCTCCCTTGCGGGTGCAGGGCCCAAGCACCTGGGCCATCCTCCACTGCACTCCCGGGCCACAGCAGAGAGCTGGCCTGGAAGAGGGGCAACCGGGACAGAATCCGGCGCCCCGACTGGGACTAGAACCTGGTGTGCCTGCGCCGCAGGCGGAGGATTAGCCTATTGACCCATGGCGCCAGCTTGTTTTTGTTTTTAAAGATTTTATTTATTTATTTGAGAGGTAGAGTTATAGACAGTGAGAGGGAGAGACAGAGAGAAAGGTCTTCCTTTCATTGGTTCACTCCCCAAAGGGCCACAACGGCTGGAGCTGAGCCAATCCGAAGCCAGGATTTTCTTCCAGGTCTCCCACAGGGGTGCAGGGACCCAATGACTTGGGCAATCTTCTACTGCTTCCCCAGGCCATAGCAGAGAGTGGGATTGGAAGAGGACCAGCTGGGACTTGAACTGGCGCCCATATGGGATGCCGGTGCCGCAGGCAGAGGATTAACCTATTGTGCCACAGCACCAGCCCTTGGGTGCTTGTTTGAGTCCTAGCTGTTCCATTCTGATCCAGCTCCCTCTCTGCAACTCTGCCTTTCAAATACATAAATAAATCTGAAAAATAATATCATAGTCATCTTCTCATATTTTCTTCTTTTAATATATTATTAAGTTTGGTGCCAAGTTGAAGGAAATGTCTGATGGCTTCTCTTTTCTTTCTCTCTCTCTCTCTCTCTCTCTCTCTCTTTTTTTAAGGATTTATTTGAAGGTCAGAATCACAGACAGAGAGGCAGAGGCAGGGGGAGAGAGAGAGGTCTTCCATCTGCTGATTCACTCCCCAAATGGCCACAATGGTCAGGGCTGGGCCAGACAGAAGCCAGGAGCCAGGAGCTCCATCCTGGTCTCCCATGTGGGTGCAGGATCCTCTGCTGCTTTCCCAGGTGCATTAGCAGGGAGCTGGGTTGGAAGTGGAGCAGCTGGGACTTGAACCAGCACCCATAGGGGATGCCAGTGCTGCAGGCAGCTGCTTTATCTTGCCATGCCACAGCGCTGGTCCCATATTTTTCTTCATGACTTAAAAGTATTTATTTTATTTATTTGAAAGCCAAGGAGACAGAAGAAGGGAGAGACAGAGACAGAGAAAAATTTCCCATACACTGATTCATTCTCAAAATGCCTGCAACAGCCAGGGCTGGGCCAGACCAAAACCAGGAATCAGGAAATTAACCCAGGTCTCCCACACAGGTGGCCCAACTACTTAAGCCTCCACGGGGTGGCCTCCCAGGGTGCACCTTCTCAGGAAGCTGGAATCCTCAGGAGCAGAGTTGGAGCTTGAACCCAGGCACTCCGATATGGGACGTGGGTGTCCAGCAGCGTCTGCACGCTACATCAAACACCTGCCCTTCCGGACTTTTGATGGCTGCGTAGCACTCCACTGTCTGGGCGTGTGGGATCTGCTCAGCACTTCCCTGCTGAGAACATTCGCGCTGTTTCCAGCTCACTGACAACAAGGCCGTGATGAATGTCCTAGCCGCTTAGTATCTCCGACTCCACTTTCAACGTCAGCACCAGTCTCCACACTGAACATTATTTAGTTTTAGGTTCAAGATCAATATCCTTGTCAGAACTGATATTGAAAATATCACGGGGGGCCAGCGATAGTTCACTCCCAAAATGGCTGCAATGGCCAGAGCTGCACTGATCTGAAGCCGGGAGCCAGGAGCTTCCCACAGGTCTCCTACATGGGTGCAGGGGCCCAAGTGCCTGAACCATCTTCTGCTGCTTTTTCCAGGCCATTAGCACGGAGCTGGATTGGAAGCAGAGCAGCTGGGATATGAACTGGTACCCATATGGGATGCTGGCATTGCAGACAACGGCTTTACCTGCTATGCCACAACATGGTCCTGCAAATCAATCTATTTTTTAAAAATAAATTATTTATATGAAAGGCAGAGAGACAGACAGCTCCCATCCACTGGTTTACTTCTCAAATGCCCACAAGAGCTGGGACTGGGCCAGCTCAAAGCTGGGAGCTAGGAATTCAGTGTGGGTCTCTCACATGTGTGGCGGAGACCTAAGTACTTGAACCATTACCTGCGGTCTCTTTGGTGTACATTAACAGGAAGCTGGAATTGAGAGTGAGGCTGGGACCTGAACACAGGTGTTCCTCTATGGGATACCGGCAGCCCAAGCCGTGTCTTAACCACTGTGCCAAACACCTGCTCCGGCTTCCAGCGTCCCACTAATGCACCCTGGGAGGCAGCAGGCGGTGGCCCCTGCTGGAACCCTGAATTGAATCCCTGACTCCTAGTCTAGCCTGACCCTGACTCAGCCTCTGCTGTTGCAGGCGGTAGGACCTGCAGGAGTGACCCAGCAGGTGGGAGATCTGTGTGTGACTCTGGGGAATTTATCTCAAGGGACTAATCCTAAATGTAGAAAAATCTGTATGAATGAAGATGTTTATACGATGGAAGAGGTGGAGCAGGGTCAGGTATTTACACACTCACACACCTATGTGCACACACACACACCCACACCCCCACACCCCCACGTTGCAACATCAAGAGACAAGCATACAAATATAATGTAGAGCAAAAGGAGCCAGAAGCAAGTTCGACACCTAAAGCCCTCTTCCCGCTTACGTAATGCGGAAGCCAGAGAGGACTAATACACGGTGGCGGAAGTAAAAATGTGGGTTCCCTCGGGGGCGGGGGGTGGGGCTGGGCGGAGCTCCAGGACTTCTGGGATTCCGGTGACTGTTTCTTGATGTGGGGGCTGATTACCCAGCTGTGTGTACTTTGTAACTACATGCGATGCTTTTATAAAAGGCTTATTCAAAATGCCTGCCAGGGCTGGCGCTGTGGTGCAGTGGGTAAAGCTACAGCCTGCAGTGCCGGCAGCCCATATGATGCCAGTTTGAGTCCTGGCTGCTCCACTTCCAGCTCTCTGCTATGGCCTGGCAAAGCAGAAGAAGATGGCCCAAGTGCTTGGGCCCCTGCCCCCATGTGGGAGACCCGGAAGAAGCTCCTGGCTTCTGGCTTCGGATCGGCACAGCTCTGGCCATTGCAGCCATTTGGGGAGTGAACCAGCAGATGGAAGACTTCCGCCTCTCTGTATCTCTGCTTTTTAAATAACTAAATAAATCTTAAAAATTAAAATTTAGGGTTTAAAAAAATGCTTGCACCTGGTTCACTCCTCAAATTCTTGCAGAGGCTGGGGCTGAGCCTGGCCAAAGCTGGGAGCCAGCTGGGACTCAATTCAAGTCTCCCAGGCAGGTGGCAGAGCCCCAGCTGCTTGGGCCATCATGGTTGCCTCCCAGGGTCTGCATTGCAGGAAGCCGGAGCCAGGCGCCAGAGAGAACTGGAATCTGAACCCAGGCGCTCCAGTGTGGGGTGTGGGCATCCAAACTGGCATCTTACCAGAGAGGTCAGGTGCCTGTCCCAAGTTCAGGGTCTTCCAAACTCAGGGGGAGAATTCTTTGCTGTGGGGTACTGTTCCGTGCGTGGCAGGATGTGTCACATCAGCCCTGGGTTTGATGAGCTCGATGCCACCTAAGACCCCCCCCACACACACCCAGGTATGACAACCCCCAAAATGACACCAGAACTTGCCAAGGGACCCTCTGCGGCAGGGCTCCCAGGAACCTGCAGGCTGCCCATTTACAGAGAATTTCAGATAAACAAGAACTAGTTTTAGCACAAACACATCTCAATCATTGCGTGGCACAGACTTGTCCCAAACGATTAACTCACTGCTGATCTTAAACTCACATTGCCCTGGGTGTCTTGTACAGTTATTTGCTGAATCTCGTAACCCTCTCTAAAGGGCAAAAATCACCTTTGAAGAACCATGACTTTTGTTAAATAAAAACGGGATCATTTCCATGCAACCAACAGCGTTTCTCTCTGCCCGGCACTTGCCCTCGGAGCCACACTCAGCAAGGAGCAGCGGCTCCTGCAGGACCCTGTGTCCAGGGCATCCCAGGCTGCATCTCCACAAAGACGGGGATTGGGGGGGGTCCTGCCATGGATCAGCCGCCTGCGGCCCCAGCCTGAAGCTGCCATCACTGGAGAGACTGCCCCGTGTCTACCGGAAGCCTGTTCTACTCGCAGAGGTAAAAGCACAGCCCACCAAAATGGCTGAAATGGACCCAGACTTCCCCCAGTACAACCACTTGGCTTTCTGGAGAGCCGTCATCATGGTTTCCATTCTGGGGGCCTCTGGTTTCCAGCCAGCATCTCCCCACGACTAACTCTCACCACCTGTATCCATTCACTCCTCCACAAGCTGAAGGGATGTTTGTGGTGGAATGAGAAGGCCATGCCAAGATGGCCACTGACAACGGAGCCTGACTGACAACAGGCTGTGATTGGGTGGCTTTGGAAACTTCCTGGCAACAGGGTGTGATTGGCTAGGGCATAGACCGCCCCTTGACCGGATTGGCTGCCTTGGCTATATAAGCTGCTGTACCAACTGAAATAAACGAGTCTACAGGCTGCTCGCCTCTGGCCTGCTTTCACCCGGCTCCCGGGGTCTGTGTGGTGACTCTGCGCCTCTTGCCCCCACCACGCTCCTCCTCTCAAAACGTATCCACAGCAACAGATGTTTCTGTCTTGCAAAAGTGGCTGCCCTGCAAGGTGCCCCGGGGGAGAAACGTCTCACAAAGTAGCCAAATCCCCACTGCTCCTTGGACGCGAGGCCTCCAAGGAAACAATGATAGGACAGGTCTCGGGACTCACAGCAAGAACAGCAACTCATTAGGTGCTTGCCCTGAGCTCCCTCTGTGGATGGTCTCCCTCATGTGGCAGCTTCGTTAATACCCCCATCTTACAGATGAGAAGGCTGAGGCCAGGGCAGTGAAGCCGTGTGCTCAGGGCCATGCAGTTGGCTGGGACCCAGCCCCTCTGCCTCCAGAGCGCAAGCTCCTGACCTCTGAACCAGAGCTGACCGCGACACGTGTCCTGCCGTCCCTCCCCTGGCCTCCCAGCCAAGGCGACCTTACTCTTATACAGGAAGTCCTCTCCCCGGGTGGTCATGTTCAACGAGAAGAAGGTGGTGTCCCCCAGAGGGGTGGCTGTGGTCATCTCGATCCTGGGAGAATGAAGAAGAGATTTTGTTTAAAACCAGAGAAAGCCTCAGTCCTCCCGGGCGGCGGCCCCTTCCGGTCTCCACATGACGACTGCTGGACAGTCCAGCAGGCAGCTGCTTGTGGCAGCACGGGACACAAGGCCCGTGTCCTGGACGCTGTGGCAGAAATGAAACGAATGCCCAACACTGGTAAGGAACTCTTTCTTATGGCCGCTTACATTCATTCCCCAATATTTATTCAACTCCTCTGAGCTGTGCTTCACCTAAAATGTCAAGTTCAATCCGGAAACTGAGCAGTATATTGATGACATTGATGCCCCCTGGGGCCCCAGGTTTGCCCAGCGCCGTTCACCCAACGCCGTGCACCTGCCATTCTCCAGGGCCTGTCTCCACCTGCCTTGGTGCCTGACATGGCAGTCCTGCTTGCCATGGGAGGGGTGGGGCTGGGGGGTGGAGGAGGGAGAACTGGTGCTCAGAGGGAGGAGATTGGGGCACGGGAGAGTCGGCCACAGCCCGGGCTCCGCCTCAGCAGTCTCCCTCCACAAATCTCTCATCTTATCAAGCCTCCCGGTTGCTGAGCGGCGCTTAGCACCCACATTTCTGTCTCTGTTCCTCTGCCTCTCAACTAAATGAGATTTAAAGAGAAACTCGGGGGCGAGTAGTTGGCACAACAGCCAAGCCGCCTCCTTGTCCCGCGGCAGGTCCCTGGGACCCATCCTCCGCGTCCTGCTCGTGCCCACCCTGGGAGGCAGCAGAGGGTGGCTCTAGTGCGTGTGTCCCTGTCACCCACGTGTGAGACTCGGACTAAGTTCCTGGCTTCTGGCTTTGGCCTGGCCCAAAGGCATTTGAGAAGTAAATCAGTGGATGGGAGCACTCTTTCTGTCTCTCTGCCTTTTAAATAAAAATTTTAAGAGGCTTGCATTGTGGTGTAGCGGGGAAAACCGCTACCTGTGTGCTAGCATCCCATATGGGCACTGGTTTGAGAACTGGCTGCTCCACTTCTAATCCAGCTTCTTGCTAATGCACCTGGGAGAGCAGTGGAAGATGGCCCGAGTCCTTGGGCCCCTGCACCCACGTAGGAGACCCGGAAGAAGCTCCTGGTTCCTGGCTTCTGCCTGGCCCAGCTCTGGCCGTTGCAGCCATTTGGGGAGTGAAACAGTAGGTGGAAGACCTCTCTCTCTCTCTCTAACTCTGCCTTTAAAATAAATAAATCTTTAAAATAACTAAAAATTCAGATGCACCGGAAGTGCTTTGTGTGTTATCTGAATCCCACTTCCTCCCTCCCCAGAGTAACCAGTGCCTCAACCTCAGTGAATCTCATCAAAGTGTTAACAGGTTCACCACGAGGAGGCTTCAAAAAGTCTGTGGAAAAAAGATACGTTTATTTGGGTATATAAAATTGTTGAAATTTGTGTACATCAGTGGCCTTCATGGAAAATAGTTACTATGAAAAACTACCCATGAATTCAAACATCTTTTTGCACCAAAATAAACTTCCTTTTAATTCCACTCTCTATGAACTTTTTGAAGTCCCCTTAAACATTGTATCCATAAACATTGCATGTGTTGTAACTCTACATAATATTTATTACACGAATATCAACCAAGTACCTGTGAGTGACAGGCGCGAGCGAGCTGAGGCGCATTCCTGGCTCGGGAAGCGCAGGCTCTGGTGAGAGAGACGGACTGTGCACCCGTCCTCCCGGGACTCACAGAGCAGCCGTCCTCCCCCCGCCGCCTCCTCTACCGGGCCTGGCCCCACCCTCAGTGCCCGCAGCTCCTCCGTGGAGTGCTGTGACAATGCACCCCTCCAGTGCCCCCAGCCTGGGGCCTGGTCTTTGCAGGGGAGGTGGGGGCATCCACCTGGAGTCCTCACCTCTGGGCTGCGGCTCCTGCTTTCCCAGTCTGATGGAAGTGGGGTCAGGCCGCCTGCACCTGCACCCAAATGGGGGCCCCTGGTGGCTGCAGCCTGGCCCGGCTGACCCACAGGACAGCCTCTGCCCTCTCCATCTCCACCATCCTCTGGGTCTGCAGCCCCGACTAACCCTCCCCCAACCCTCCCCTAACCCTCCCCTAACCCTCCCCTAACCCTCCCCTAACCCTCTCCAGGGCCTGTCTGCCCTTCCTCCTACAGAGCAAACCCCCAGGATCCCCAGCACTGAGGCTCCATCCAGCGACGCCGGGCGGCTACGCGTGCACCAGCCAAGCTTCAAGCTCCCCAATGGAGCGAACACAGCCTGCAAGACTCAGCCCAGTCACCCCTCCAAGACTCACCCAGGCCCTGGGACAGAATTAGTGCCCCACCCCCACCCCTGCCCCCAGCAGCGCTCAGCCTCTCGGTGCCGGTGCCTCTGTCTGCCTTTAACATTGTGCTTTAGCTGAAGGTCCAGATTGCTTCTGGCTCTTTCTCCCAGCCTCCCCAGGGCCTTTTCACCTTGGGGGGAGGGGGCAGGGGCTGCAGCCAGCACCTGTGGCTCTGCCCAGGGCAGCTGAGTGCTGCAGGCAATGTGCATGAGCTGAGGGCCAAGAGCTCAGTGAGCGGGAGCTCCAGCGTGGGTGCAGGGAACATTTGCTGAACTAAGCCGACGATGGGGGATCTGGGGCTCCGGACAAGGAAAAGCTCTTTCTGCAGAAATTAGCACGGACCCGCACGAGACTGCAGAACGGAGTCTTCCCCCAGCCTGCACCCCGCCCCGGGAGAGCAGTCCACCCCCAGGCCACTGTCCGTCCCCGCTGGGAGCAGGTGAACCTGCTTCAGCCTTGACTTTCTGCTTCTACCCAACTCAGGCCAGGAAGGCTCCCGGTGAGGCCGTCTTACGGTTCCTTTTCAAAGCAGGAAAGAGACAAACAGGCGGCCACGGAGCAAGGTCTCTCGGTGAGACAGACGTGCACAGTCACTGGATAACCCATCTCCACCCTGGACACATGTCCACCGTGCAACCGACATACAGAGCCACCTCCCCAGCACCTGTCACCTGCCAAGGCCTTGTGCTCGATCGGTTTTTTGAAATCGATGCCCTGACTTAATTTGCGAAGTGCCAGGGAAGGGAGGGTCCTTTCCCAGCCGTGGGGACACAGGGATAAGTCTCCATGCTCATTCCGCCTGGAGCTGTGGGGCTGCCATTTGAGCCCAGGCTTTGCTAAACTGCACAGCTGGGTGCTGCCTGCTGCTCTGCCCGCCCCCGAGGCACACCTTGGAGAAGTCCGTGTTCAGTCACCGCCAAAAGACACACGTGCACAAGCGCAGACACGCACACACTGACCGGCAATGCTGCCCCCTAGGGCCTCCGGGACGCAGGTCCTTCAGGGGCGACCGCCTGGGGACCAAGCTGCAGGTGCACACTTCCTCCTGGACGGGCCCAGGCACTCCTCTTGGTGAGAGAACAGTGAGTGAGCCTGCAGCACATCTCGCCTCATCTCGGGACCGGGGTTCTCAATGACCTCTCTGTTCCTGCCACATGGGAGAAGGTGGGAGGAGGCTGGTAGAACGTCCATGGCCAAGGGCGTGGGTGTTTGCATGTGGGGGGTCCCCGTGACTGCTGTTAACTAAGTGAGGTCCGGCAGGGGATGCAGTATTAATCGTGCTGATGACCAGGGTCCAAGGCTACAGAAACCGGGAGGGATGAAGAGGGTAGGGGTGGTTTTCACCCACAGAGGTTGATTTAGCGGCAACAACAAATATAATACTTGGGGCTGGCGCTGTGGCACAGCGGGTTAAAGCCCCCGCCTGCAGCGCTAGTGTCTCATATGGGTGCCGGTTTGAGTCCTGCTGCTCCACTTCCAGTCCAGCTTCCTGCTAATGTACCTGGGAAAGCTGCAGAGATTGGCCCAAGTGCTTGGGATCCTGCACCCACATGGGGGGACCCATAAGAAGCTCCTGGCTCCTGGCTTCAGATTGGCTCAGCTCCAGCTGTTGCAGCCATTTGGGGAATGAACCAGTGGATGGGAGACTTCTCTCTGTCTCTACCTCTCCCTATAACTCTGTCTTTCAAATAAGTAAAATCAATTGTTAAAAAAAATGTAATTCGTGTTGGACCCTACCCTCCGTGCTTTATGTTTGTCCCATACCCCTCTAGTAAAGGGGGCATAATCACTGTGTCCATTCTACAGACGAGGACACTGAGGCTCAGAGCAGAGGAGAAACCCACCAAGTTCACAGGTCAGTACCAGAGTCGTGCTAGGAGTCAAGCCAGCCTCGCTCTGATTTCGCAGCCTCCTCTCCATTACGCCTCACCATACCTCCCCCTAGTGAGTACCGGCACCTGGCCCTTTGACGGGAAAATCCAGCCAGGATGGAGTCCGGCAGACCTGACCCCGACCCCTCCCCTGCCCTGGCCCACACTCGGAACCTTTGTCTTCAGCCCAGCCTTCATCAGCTGGGACAGGACACACAAGGGTGATTGTTCCTCGGCTGTGTTCCCGTGGCCCTGTGCGGGGGTCAGTTTGGGAAGTGATGGACGGTGACGACCACTCACTCACTCACGGCTCATCCCCTCAACAAGCCTAAGAGCTGGGCCTGACCCCACTGGCCAGAACACCTCCCCTCCTGCTCTGTCCTGGGGCGCCCTGCTTCCTCAGCCTCCTGTGTCTACTTCCCACCCCCACCCCCCACCCCCACTGGAAGACAAAGGCACAGCCAGGTCCGGCAGAGCCCCCGCCCCCACCAGGAGGACAACTCAGCGGGTGGCCCACGAAGCCCCCAGCTTGCTGGAGCCTGGTGCTGCCCGGGACGCGTGGTCCAGCCCGACTGCGCCTCCTCCACACACAAGCAGCCCCGGAATCATCGGGGTGTTTTCCTTGCCAGAAAATTGACCTTTGTGTTGGCACCTTGTGGTTCCCCCGATTCAGCCTAATTCTTGTCCCACGAGGTTAGCTATGCTCCCTCTCCCACGTGACAACCTGTCAGGTCTTCTTTTTTCTTTTTAAAGATTTATTTAGTTATTTGAAAGGCAGAGTTACAGAGAGGCAGAGGCAGAGAGAGAAAAAGGTCTTCCATCCAGTGG